GGATCTCGAGCTCGCCTTCAGACATGCCCTTCCATGACTGATGCCCTGGCTCCGGGGGACCAAAAGGCCCAGCTGCTAAGCTAAGCAGGGGGGAGCCAAGCGCAAGGGAGCCAGAGGCCCTTCTCAGGCCACTGCGGAGGACAGGGGCAGCCCCAAGGTCCCCACACGGCCGCCAGAGGAGTGGGCAGTGGCCTGCAGCTATTCATTACCTCAAGCTGGTTGGGGGCAGCCACGTCGAGCCCCCCACCCCCAGCAGCTGACGGCTTGTCTGGCCATTCCCACCCAGTGAAACTATGCCCCAGAAGCAGCCCTCCACCTCTCAGCCTTATTCCTGTTCCGCTGCCCAGACTTACCAGGATCTGCTCATGCAAACCCAGAGGCCAAAACCCTGGATTAGTGTTCTGCAGTTAACATCTGCGCCAGAGGAATGCTTAACCAGGCAAACTTATCCCCATTTGCCTGCCTGACCATCTGGGAGAAGGCAAAGTGCCTGTGGGCAACCAGAAATGGAAACATCTATTAAGGGGGGAAAGCACTGGTCTTCCTTTTCCGGACTTCAGGCTGTTGAGCCACAAAGCTCAAGATTTCCATCTGTTCCACCCTCTCCTTATTCTTCAGGCTCTATAAAAGCTGCTTCAATACTGTTCCTTCTGACCTGAAATCCTGTTTAATAGCTTGCATTAGAATCAAAGCTGGTGCCGTGTCCTTTCCGCTCTTATCTGGGAAGCTAAACCACATCCTGAGGTCATTTCAATGGGGGGGATGGGGGGTGCCTCTAATTACTGGTGCTCTAGGAGGGTTTGAATAACAAACAAGAGGTAAAGGTTTGTACTCCACACAACCTGGAGTTTCACCAGGAGACTAGAACAGCTGGGAGGGAGGAGAGACCTGGCCAAGACTCTGATTTCCCTTCCGTGCAACCTGCTTGTCCTCGATCAGAGCAATGTTTTGCTGGTGCTGGAAAAGCAATAAGAGCCCAATATGTTCACACTTCCTTGAACTCCAGAAGACAAGCCTCAGAGGAAAAGGAATTCTCTAGAATGATGTCTAGGTTGCAATGGTCCCAGGCCTCCATATCCAAAGTTGAATCAGCCAATGGGACCCCCCCCCCCACCCTTGGTGTTTTTACTGTTTTACCTTGGCTTGTTTATATTGTATCTTTCTGATACCAGTGGAACATGCTGCCACAAGACGTGGTCTTGGCTTCAGAAGGACTGAACCACTTCCTGGGGTCTTTCAGTGCCTCCCAGTCTTGATGTCCGGCACTGCCTCCACCAGGCACGGGGGCCATCCACTTCCACCCCTGGGTGCAGAGGGCCAAGAGCAGATGAGGATGTACCTGGCGGGCCCCTGTGGGCTAGGTGGGCCCAGCCCTAGCCCTAGCCCTAGCCCTCATAGGGTCATTGATACACTAGTGAGGAGGAACTGTGGTTGCTGAGCAATTTAGAGATGTAGTAAAATAAATGAAACTGCCAGTTTAAAGCAGCCCTTCCTCTATCTAAAACACAGCTCTATTTTGAAATAATTTCAGAAGGATCTGCAGTCTTTAGTGTGCAGGTTTCTCATTCAGTCTGAATCCTATGCGTTGAAACACCAGGTCACAGTGTGGCAACTTCCCCAGCCAAGCTAAAAAGCCTGCGGATATTGGTCCACCTCAGCTCCTTTTAAGACCTATTGGTCCACCTCAGCTTCACACAAGCAGCCTAATCTTCTGATATTAGCATTTTACCCTCACTTGGTGCCTCACAAAGAAAGTGTAGAAGAGGAATCTCCCACCCCCACCCCCACTCCCTTCAATTATCCTGCTGTGTATTAGAAGCCACAGCAGACATCTGCCCCCAAAGCTATTAGCTTTGGCCAACTGCTATCTTATCTCTCGGGTTCCCCGCCCCAGGGGGGAAGGTGAGGAAGGGATGCTGGAGAAGAACCAGTCTAGATGTGAGACCCATTCTCCCCTGCCCTGAGGAACACAGGACAGCCAGCCAGCCAGCCCCTGGGGGCCTCTGCAGAGGCCTTGCCATCCCCACAGATCCACTCTGATGGGCTCTCAAGATAAGGCTCCCTGGGGGGGGGGGGGGCTGAACACATTTGGACCCTGCATTCCTCAGGAACAATTCAGGGCAATCACTAACTTTGCAGAGGAGTTGACATGAAAAGCTCCAGCCAGTGAATGAGGGTCATCTGCTCTTTATCACAAGGGTAAACCTCATCCTGGCCAGTTTCTAACCTTTTAACCCAGTGAATTCTTAATTTGCACATGAATAATGGACCGGCTGCAGAGAGTGCAACAACACTCCGCTTCCCTGGCCAACTTTTTAGGCTCTTTGTGTGCTGAGGCCTTAAACTCCATGGTAGATTAAGGTGTTAGATTTCCAAACCCAGCACCCAGTATTACACTGTGAAACCCAAGACAGCAAGGTGCTGAAAGACTTGAGCAAGGATCCACCCTGCTGCAATCACCCTGTGCTTCTCCAGAGGAAGGGAGGAAGGAAGGGAGGAGGGGAGGGGAGAGAAGGGGAGGGGAGGGGAGGGGAAACCAGGAAGGTCCCTCTTCCACCTACTGATGATGTCGAGGTTCAGCTTAGCCACAAAGAAAGTTGTTTTGTTCTTCAAGGCTGTAAAGTGATCACAAACCAGGGAAAACTCTTTCCTTTCAGCACAAAATGCTGGAAATTCACCCACCCATCCCCCAAAGATCCTGCAGCAGACAACAGGCAACTTAGCTTAATTCCAATCTATGCAACTTATCCTAAAACAGAGTTCAGGCCTTCTCATGTTAATTGCAGAAGTTATGAATCACTGGAGAATCACAGACTTTGGACACATTTTATGCACACAAGGAAACGGCAGTTTAAAACATCCAAATGCTATCAGCGTAGCCGTCTTGAGGAACAGAGCTTTCGTCACAGGGTGATGAGCTCCCCATTGCGTGTAAATAATGAGGAGGCGCAACATCCCTGCTTGGTGTCCTCCAGACGTGCCTGGGCGTAGGGCAGCCAAAGGGAGAAGACCTCGGGGAGTCCTGTGATGCCCCCAAGCGCAGCTGGAGGATGCCAGGAGGGCTGTGGGCACAAGGCCAATTGGTGGAGACAGGCGAGCTCTGGAGTTGGCTAACTGCAGGGCACGCGTGCCAGACACCCCAAAACTGTTGGCTGTGCGTCTGCAGAACACAGCACACTGGTGCCTCTGAAAGGCTGAGGCGAAGGTCTGGGGGGGATGGGGGGGCTCCTTTATGTTCTCCTGAGAGTTCAGCATGCCGCCGCCTTGCCCCTCCCCCCATCATTCAACACCACATTCTTCACCATTCTTGGGCTCCGCATCACCGGAATAAGACATTTTCTCAGTTCCCGAAGACATACTTTAAGCGTCCCTTCACCCCAGCCTCCACAAAGAAGGCTCAGTCTCTAGGCCTCTCTTCCACCAGCCACAAGGTCTAGCCGAAAGCAATGCCCAGGGAAGGGGAAGGGCCTGCCGCAGAAGTGGCCACCCTCCCCGGAAAGGCCAGCTCGGTTGCCGGGTCAGAGGCTTGTGGAGCCTTACGAGTGTTGCTGCTGGAACTTTCCTTCATCGACACTTTTCCCCTTCCGGCCGGGCACCACCCCTAAGCCAAGCAGAGGAGCGCTGATGGGTAAAAAGAATGGCCTCCTGGTGCCCCAGGTCCTCCTGGACCCTGCTGCACTGGCTGAACCTGTGTCCCTTGGAAAAAGGGATGCCGGGCAAATGGCCCTTCCCCCAAGCCTTGGAGAGCTCACCCCTCCTTGCCCCCATTGCGAAGAGTTCCCTGGTCATGGATCAACAGGAGCAGCCGTGGAAAGGAGCTCCTGGAGGACAGAAAGGAATTCCCCGGCCTTCTCAAGATCAGCTCCTCGGCACCAGTGTGAGGACCGCAGGCAGCTTCTTCTGAGACGCAAAAGCAAGCAGGGATAGCAAACACTGCCACAAAACAGTTCCTTAGCAGTCCTCTGCTGAAGAACATGGAGCCTCCACACCTTAGTTTACTTCCTGCATTATTCTGCACCACCACTGGGGGTAAAATATCTTTAAGGCTGAAAATATAATTGGAACAAAAAACAGCCATGCATTAAAACAAGTCTGTAAAAAACAACCCTGCAGTGATGGGGTTGCAGGCCCAATACTGCATTTCTAACAGCAGCAGTAGCAGCAGCAGCAGCAGCCATTACCCAGAGACCCCAAAGGTATCTTTCGTCTCACCCACCTCATCCTTCTTACAGGACAAACAGAGAAAGTGCAGGAAGACTGAGAAGTTAACCCATCAAAATAACACGCTGGCAGTCTCGTGGAAGCACCAAGTTGGTTTACCAGCAGGTAACTATCTCAAAGACATATTCTGCTTTTTACCACTTGTGGGAAGGGGCAGAAAAACATTTTGCAGCCCAGACAGGAGTGCCCAAGCAAGCAGAGTCTTCCATGCTTCCTGAAATAAACAGGGGCCTCTTTTCTGCCTAGCCGGCCAGCTGTGCTCCTCCTCAGCAGTTCTGCAAAGCAGGCAGAGGCTCAAATGCCTTGAAAGTGCCACAGGGTGGCAGTAAACCAACATTCTTAAACACTGACTGGCCACACCACCACCTCAAGTAGCTTTTAAAATCAATTTGTGGAATAAGCCACCAGACATGATTTACAGATCACAAGCCAGGGTTCACACAACTTACTAAGCCACAAAAAGCCGGCTGTGATGGCTCAGCATAATCTTCCAGGTGCTTAAAAACTAAGCGACCTCTTATGCCATCGGCTGCATGGATCAGAGCCAGCCCTCCTGTCCACGTGGCCAACTTTGGTGCCTCACAGAGGAAAAGTAGCTGCCGTCTCTGTGCCCAGAAGCAGCAAAGTTGGGTACACAGACGACCAGCACCAGGCACTTTCAGAGCATTGAACACACCTGCTTCTTCAAGGCATCCGGGATGGGCCAGCCTGACCCAACCAGAGGAACCGCGTCCATGGCGTGTAGAAACAGGCTGCCCAAAGAAGTAACGAGAACTTACTTGCTAACGTAAGATGCGCTTTCTGGCTGAGAACTGCGCCATATTTATTCAGGGCCAAGCACTGATAGAAGCTTTCATCCAGCGTTTCACCTTGCTTGCTCTCCAGCTCACTGATGTATAAAGAGCCATTGGACAGAGAGTAGATCTGTTCATTTTCAGAAACCTTCACCCCATTTTTGAGCCACGTGATGGTGATGGGGACCTCACCATGTGCCAGGCAGTCTAAAACTACTGCTTCCTTTCTAGCAATAGTCACATCTTGGGGCTCTCTCACGAAAAACAGTTCGCTGAAGCTCCTTATCCCTATGAAAGGAGAAAAATAGAAAGCGAGGAGGAAAATGTTATTTTTGCCAGAGGCCTTTTACTCTGTTTTCAACCCAACATCATCACCCACTGTCAGGAAGCCACGCGGCTGCCCAGCAGAGTGGGTCAGCCTTCCGTCCTTCCCTCTCTGGTAGACAGGTGCACCAGGCGGAGGTGAGGAGGCTGGGAGAGGAAGGCTTTGCTGCTTCCCAATGTTTCCTCCTCCTCCTCCTCAGGATCATCAGCGCTGAGTTGCAAAATGGGGGCTCTAAAGCGAGGCACATCCTCCTGCGCTGCTGCCGCTGCTCTGAAAGGGCCCTTCCCCGGAGGGGGAGGACCACTGGGCAGTGCTTCCCCCACATTTCACACAGGCAGCAGGCAGCAGCCCTGGGATCCTTCAGGCCCTTAAAAGCTGCCTGCATTTTAAATAAACTGACCCCTCTAAGCCAGCCATGGGGGGAGGCAGCCCTAACCCCACGCAAGGATGCCCAGCAGATGGTGACCAGATCAAAGCAGAAGGGAGGGCTTTCTCTGCCGAAAGGACAAGATGGGGGCACGGGG